CATTCTGAAATTAATACAAGTTACCTTTGGCCTTTACAATTACAACAACAACTTGCAGACATTTATTAGTACAGCAAACTGAAGTGCACATACATTTTTTTGAGAGATTCTGTGTATGTGCTGAGCTATTATTATCCTTATTATTGTTGTTGTGAAAATACAACCTACTACCAAAAGTCTGAGGATGTAGCTAGACTACTATTGGGGAGATAAAGCCTCTAAGAATTTAAAAGTACTGTATAGAATATGATTTAAGCCAAGTATGATGGCACACTCCTCTAATTCCAGCACTTGGGAAACTAAGGCAGGAGGATCACGAGTTCGAGACCAGGATAATTTAATTCAATCAGTCTAAAGGGGCCAATCATAGGCCTTGCAATAATACTACATAAAGTAAGACCCCATCTCAAAAAGATTAATATGATAAATTCTGTATTTTTATTACTTAATTTTACAAATATATATGTAGTTTAAGTTAAATAAAGCGTTCAAAGATTACTAAACTTCAGTTTCAGATTAGAACAGACCTCTACCCAGACAGTTTTGGAAAAGTAAATCTACCTGAGATATTTAGGAAGCACAAGTCTGAGAGGTAGGTAACGTACAGATTTTCCTAGTCAACTGCCATACACCATATAGAATTTGCCACGATGGTTCACTGTGATTGGAAAAGAAATTATATAAGGTTTTCAGGAAAACCTTATACATTAATGTTAGTGTTGAAGAGATCTCTATCATTACCTATTTTAAGATGAAAGGACGTCAACAGTGTTGTCTTTTACACTGATAATGAACACTGTTTTCATAGAACACGGGCCTTCAAAAAAAGGTTCACAACAAGGTAAGATAATGGTATTCTACAGTACAATTTAATTCAATCATTCTAAAGGGACCAATCACAGAGCTTGCAATACTACTACCACAATCTTGCAACACTGAGGAAACTACAACTGAAATCAATTATTGTAGCCAGGCACACATGTTTGCAATTCCAGCACTCTGGGAGACTGACACAGGAGAATTTCAAGTTCTAGCCCAGCTCAAGCAACTTAGCATCTTAAGTAAGATTCTGTCTCAAAACAAAAAATAAAAAAGCTTGAAGGTACCGCTCAGTACAAGAGCCCTGGGTTCAACCCCCAGTACATCAAAAACAACACCCCACCGGATATACATAAATATATACATAAAATCTTAAGTAAAAATTTAAAAATCTGCTTCTGATATACAGAAAAAGGAACTGGTCCCTTTAGAATTAACAAAGACACACTTTCAACCTTAAGAAATACAAAAAAAAAAAAAAAGAAAGAAAGAAAGAAATAAAGATTACTTAGTGGTTTAGCCCGAGGAGGTAACACTGTAAGTATTCCACTGCCAGAAGTAAATCTACTGGATCATCAGAAAAGGTAAAAGCACAGTATCAGAAAACTTAAATAACTCCATTTTCCATAGTGAGAATGTTTCTCTCAGAGTAACATGAGAAGAGAAAACAAAGTCCTTCATGAGAGGGATGGGTAGTGTAACGTGACTTTCAGATTACAGATGATTTTATAACTAGGAAGTGAGACACAAACTATAACTCCCCAATGCCTACCATGATGTGCTCAATAAATAATTTTTATTACTATTCACGATCTTTGTTAGAAGCCCAAACATTGACATGTATAATGAAGACCAAACCTGGCAACCAGAGGAAGCTGCAACACTGTGAGGATGTGTCCATACTAGTAAGCCCTAAGGATAGTCACAAGAAAAACACTGCTCACAGGGATTGTGAAGGAAGCGCTAATGGACAGCACAGGAACACTGCTCTCTTTCTAGGAAATACAATGAAATGAGCCTGGCCATGTAGACACTAACTCAGAACGCCTGCATAGACCCCACTGGGTCCAGCTGTGCACCCAGCACCATAACTGCACACGACAGACCTAGCTTATTGCTTTCAAAACTCGGGTTCTACAGACTTTGTACAGCCTACACATAGAAAGTAACAGCGAGAAAATGCTCAAGCTTGAAACTATATGTGACTTCAGAAAATGAGATTTATTTACTGAGAATAAAATATAAAGAATGAAATAAATCACACAAAAAAGTAAGCCTGAATATAATCTCTAAATTTAAGAGCTTGAAACTGCTTTCATAATTTTGCCTAGTGAGAAAAAAAATCTTCATTCCTATAACAACCTGGATAATTTCTCATGGAGCTTTGGAAGCCCAAAATCTCCTGGATACTAACTGAAATCTTCTACATACCACCTATTTAAAAGACACATTTAAAAAATAACTTAATTGTATAGTATAGTGCACTAAAAAGTATTGGCTTTCAAAAAATGAATTGATTAAATAAGAATAAATTATTCCAACTATTTCATTAATGATTTTTTCAACCTCAAATTTGTTGGCAATCTTGGGGTATGTAAATAAGAAAGTAGAGAATCAAGCATATTTTCAAATTTCTTATGAATATTTTCACTTTCCTGGATTGATGGCAGTATGACACTTGTTTTGAATCATTTTGCTTCCCTATGTTCCCCACCCCTCCCTAGACCAAAAACCTAGATATGAACCAAGTTTAGTAACAGAAGACATTCCAAGATGCAAATAGTAGATTCCAAAAGATATCCATAACATAAAAGCAGTGATAATGGCTTCACTCTTATGTTCTTCCTCAAAACAGTGATAAAGGAATCAGCTACATTAAGTACAACTGCTGACCACAAAAGTGAGCATTTATTCTACTGATAAGAAGAATTCAGGATTCATAAACAATTACTTTCTAAACCCTCTTTCAGTTACAAAAATAAACAACATTTGGAAAAAAAAAACTTTGCATATGAAAGTTTAGTTTGGTGCTTCTGGAATTTTCTGAATATATAAAAGATCACACACAGGGCTAGGAATATGGCTTGTGGGAACATGTGGATTTCATCCCCAGCACTGCAAAAATAAGTAAATAAGTTAACAAATAAATAAATGGAAAACAAGCCTTAAAGGCACAAATTAATACAGTCCCTACATTAGACTAACAACAGAAAAAAACCAAAAACCCCACAAATATCTTTTAGCAAAACTCCCTAGCTCCTCCCAAAAACTATAAATCTCTCAGTAAACTTTATTAAAGGCAAAAAAGAACTGATATAGTTTACTGAATTCCATTATACTATAATTGAACTTGGACATCATAAACAAAAACACCTTTTGCATATCAAAACTATTTTTATATACAAATATCCACCCCAACTGATTCACTATTTCATACACACAAAAATCATAAATGACTCCACCATGACTTTCATTCAACCATAAATCTGCTAAACAAAAATTTTACCTTTTTGCTACTGTGTACTTTTTACTATATATATGCCTGGAGGGGGGAGGTCACAGTGTTTTATATTAAAATGTTAGAATTTCCTCTAAAGAAAAATCATTTCCCTGAACTAAATGCCTACTGAAGGGCCAGTGGAGCATATCTAATTCCACTGTGATCTCGTAGAAATAAACAGCTTAACAGGAAAAGATCTAAAGTAAACAGCAAGGATGTAAGATGACATGAGAAAGTCCGGAAAATGTTAAAAGTGGCAGATACCATGGTACCTGAAACCCTCTACAGTGTGAAATGAGTTAACTACTAGAACTAACAAAACTAAAGGCCAGGTCTTAGAGGAAGAGGAACCTGGAGACACACACGCAATAAAGAGAAGTCAAATACTGATCAGAAATACTAAAAGGGAACACTATGCTCCTCAAACTGTGCCTTGAATAGAAAGCAAACCCTCAATTAAAGGGAGTAAACCAACATGTATTTCAAAAGTGTAGGCTGGTTTCAGGTAGGAAACCATGCTAAGGCCCGTATGAGAAATAAAAAGCCTCAAATTTTCACAGGAATTACCTTGTATAAAATAGAGGATACAGAAATTAATCACACCTCAACCCCAGCCACTAAACACCTAAAAACAACAAAGTGATACTTTTTGACATAAGGTAGCACTAAACTTTTATTAACCATTCCTTTTTACTTGTGTACAATTAATAGCTTTCTGAACTTACATAAATCACTGGTTCTACTTCAAATCTATACAAGAACAAAACAGCATATTAAAGGAGACTCAAAGTAGTCACCATAAAACAAACAATATTTCAAATTATACACCACAGGTTTTTATTCTGGGGGGGGATGATCTTCCTTTTATTGACTATCTGTACTAAGTCCCATCACAAATATATATCAATTATGGGATTAAGGTATCATTCCCAACCTTCTTTTAAATCTGCAGTAAATGTAGTATGAGCTTTTAACTGGTTCTGATTCAAAAAGCTAAGTTGGGAAGACTGGTAATGGAAAAAAGAAAATAAAGTGTGTTTTTGGTCAAGGTACAGAAGGCAGACTGGTGGTACAAGGCCTGGGGTCTTGCAGGTACAGAAGGCAGATTGATTTGGTGGTACAAGGCCTGCAACTCTCAAGCTGCATTAGTCTCTCATGAATAAGATAACATTCACTCTTTGAATTAGAAGCCTAAACTTAAAAGTTAACAACTTAAAAGGAGTTTGTATCTTCTATATATATATTAAAACACTTTTGTTTTTCTTGTTAACAAGTCAGGTTGCTCATTAACATGTTGGACTGAACCAACCATTCTGAGCAATAACATTTAAACCACGTGGTCTTAGAATTAGGAGCCAGTAATAGTAACAGCACTAGAAATCAAAATAACCTTTAAATGAAAGCAAGTGCAAGGGGAAAAAGACAAATTCCAAGCTCCACTCTAATATTCTCTCTGTATGTGTGGAAAAAAAGCTGTAGCAACTCTTTATTTCTGGTTTTTTCCCCCCAAAAGACATCCCTACCAATCTCCACTTTCATAAGAGAATTGAAGTAGTTCCAAAAAATAATAAGTAGAATCACCTCAATTTGCACTCTGCAGTTTAACAGGGAATGACTCAGTTGGAGGTTTTAAAATGAAGGTTTCTATAACATACAATTTAAATAACTTGAAAAGACTCACCTGTAGGCTTAACTGAATAAAACCCAATGGCCTCTCCTTTCTTCCACAGAATCTTAGCATAATCAGTACTGCTATGACACAGGAATGGGATCTCATTTCTCTCCATTTCCTGTTTTCTATAAATAATGCGGTTCAGAACATACAGAACCACTCTCTCCCCAAGAGTGCTCACCTACAAAAAGAGGCAAACAGCAGGCACAGCAGTTACCATATGCAGCCACCAGGGAAGGCTCCTCACCCTGCCCCTGCCCCTGCCCCTGCCCCTGCCCCTGCCCCTGCCCCTGCCCCTGCCCGGCCCCTGCCCCCAGGCCTCACAGGCATTCAGAGCACTCTTGCTGCATTCGAAGCCATTTATAAGACCTTTTGTTATCCCAGAGGAAACCAATCTTTCACACCATTTCCATGGACGCATCTTAGCATGGAATACTGCCTCTCAGAAAGTCTAATAAATACAAGCAGCAATAGGTCCCCAGTGCACCCCTTACTCGCCCAGCACCTTCTTTGTGCTCAGTGTCCTCTTCAGCCGTGCAGAGCCAAGGTCTCACACAGCCCTACTCGCAGCCCCTCTATGCACCCTGCTTCAACTCCTTTTACCCCTTTCCAGCCTCCATATTTAAAAAAAGAAAAAACACTAGCATACTCTGGAGACTTCAAGAACAACTAGCTCATTTGCTGAAAGGCCCTGATTACATCCTTGGGGAGGGCATCTGTCTCAATCTTTTCAAGTGAAATATTCGTTTAACAGTCTCGTCTTTGCTATAACTGTAAGACCCCATCCCACTCAACCCAAACACTCTCTGCTAAGAAACCAGATAAGCAAGGATAGTGACACTGGAACAGTCTAGTGAAACATACGACTTGGGACAGCCAGAGAATAGAAACATGGCCTCACGTTTATACAGGCCACACCATCAGAGGAACCCCACAAACACCTACAGCCTTCTGGCATCAGTTTTTTCCCACAGACATCTTTCACGCTAAAAGCAAGAGTTCTGTACATAAAGCCTTTTTTCTTCCAAATCCTGAACTGAAGGGAAAACAAGTTCACCTCCTGATTAGCTGAGTGGAGAGAAAGGATTTACCATGTGCAGTGCACACACTATTCTTAAGTGGCCCGGCAGGGGATCTGCCTTATCAAACAATATGGGCAATGACAGAGGGGACTCCACCAGAGGGCAGCCCATTCCTTCCCTGAACAGCTCTGACCAACATAAAATTCTCCCTCAGACTGGGGTGAAACCTGTTTCCCAAAGACTGTATTTTGATAGTCTGCAGCTACACAGCCAACCAGTATCTGAAGACAGCAATAATTCTCTTCTACATTTCTTACCAAAGCTGAACAATGAAACAACTGAAGGGAAAAGGCTGACCAAATAAAATTTGGAGAACTCTTGCCATTTCTCTCCTCTGCTTTGGAAGACATCAGATCTTTAATCTCTCTCTTCTTGTTTGCCACAGGATACAATAGAAATAAACACTAAGACACTGCTGAGGTAATGGGACATCTCTAGAGAAAATTAATGTTTTCATAGTTTCGTTTTATTCCTATTTAAATACAGCCCTTAGCTAAAGCCCAAGTCTTTTTCACATGTGCTACTGTTTCAGTTTGGTACTCATGGCAGACATGCACAGGGAACTATCTTGGAACCTGTGAGTGCTATGGCACATGTACCTTATTAATTTAATTCGATCATGTTAGATCCTTCTCCTCTTGACTCCACCTTCCGCAGATTAGTTCTTTCATTCAGTTCTGTGACATGCAAAATTGATAAGCTACCTGTCCATAATTTCCTCTAAATGGTGATAGGGGTTGGGGGAAGAGACCAGGACAGAAAACGGGACAAAGTTTTACAGTATGTGATTGAGGACCTTCCTTCCGAATAACTGAGCACCAGTTTATAGGCATAGGATTGCCTCATTTAATTGTTAACTCATTTGATTTTACCACAATTATGAGACACTGAGAATAAGGTTTATAGTAAGAGTCACAGCTAAGGTCATGTGTTTAAGTTTCTTTCATTTATTAATGTTTATTCCTCAACTTTTCCTTACTGGCACAGATTTAACTAGAATAAGTCTCCCTTCACTGATTTTCCTACATTTAAAGTAGGGAAGTTGTCTCAAAGTAATTAGGCTTAAGGAGACCTATTGAGGTGATTCCAAATAATCTAATTTTGGCCCTGACACCCTCTCCTCTCTGCAGTCCACATCTGGGTATTTTATACTTTCTTAGGGTGAGGAGAGGCTACACAGACTATCAGAAGATTTCTCCTTCTCTGTCCTTCAACCTTCCAGCCAAATGTCCAAATTTCCATCACACTTAAACACCTCAGCATGTTTATCTTCTGGTCATGCACACCTCCCTCAGCTATCAGCGGTTTCTGAGAGCAAGCTATAGTCTTCTATTGCTAATCCACTCCTCCCCTCTGATAGCTCTACGCAGAATTTTTTGTTGTTTTTTGAGATAAGGTCTTGCTATGTAGTTTGATACACAGGATTTTAATTTCCCCTCCTAATTTTGTGTTTGAAGTTCCTTATCAAGATATATAGGTGTACATTCTCCTAGTCTTTGTGAGATGGACTCACTGCTCTGGAATCTCAAGGCACATTCAGTAAAGAATGCAATACCCAGAAGGAACAAAAAGTGATACTAAGTATTACTACCCTTCCATCATTTCCTCCCTTTAAGTTTGATCCTTTTTGAAGTTCCAAAATCAAAAGGAAGAAATGTGAACACTCCAGTAACCTGAAAGATCCTCATTTTCCTATGCTGGATTTCAAAGTTTCTAGAAATGCTTTCCTTGTTTCTTCTGACTGGCTCAAACTGCGACTAAAGTGAACAGAGCAGCTGATACCCTGAAGATCTAACAAGTTTTTATAGACTTGACCTATTCTAGAAACCTCCTAAAGGAAGAATATTAGGATATGTATTCATATCTGTTCATTCTAATCCCCTCAGCAAGGTCTCTTCCTCATAGCATTAACAAAGATCTCTGCATCTTAAGCAATAGTAACGCTTAGTATTCCCTATAAGAAAACCCTGATGCATCTCGACCAAGCCAAGCATCCTATTCCTCTACTTTTACTACACTTTTCTACTTTGCCTTATCTATTCTATTATTTCCCATCTTGGTTCCTATACATTTTTCTCCTCTTGTCCTGTTTACTCTCTAACCATAGCACAGATATACCTCTTGAGCTCTTATAGCTCTAATGCACAAACCAGTATCCTTCGTGCAACACAAGAGTTAGTTGGCTTCTGTTGTGTGAACTTGATCACTGTCCTGTTTCAAACATCATATCTCAGCCACGAGAGGAGGCTCGAGTAACAAACAAGGCTCTTGGTCCATCTTCACCAGTGACATGAAAGCTTAGCACCCACACTAAGTGAATTAGCCTTTCCACCACTAAATAAGAAAACCATAAGCTCAAATGGATAAAGGACACAGCTCAGCCAACCCACCAGTGTTCTGTCTTCTTCACCCAATTGCTCAGACACCTTCAAGTCACATAAAATAGAGGAAACCCAACCTGAGCTCTGGATTCAATAAGACTAAACCTCCAGGGGTTTAATACAACGCTATCATATTAAAATGGGGATGAGTTTAGTAACTTCACAGACTATCACTGTTTACAGGGAACCCTGAATTGTAAGAGCTTATTACCTGCATAAGTCCTTCTCTAGCTGGAACAGATGTTTTCACAATATCATCAATAGCCCACCACTGATCAGCAAGGTAAAGAGCCACAGCTAAAACAGAATAAATGATCATTAACATACAAGGCTTAAGGCTAATGTGTACAGTAGTAATGCTAGATTTATATTACTTCTCTTAAATTACTCATATCTTATAACACAATATGGTTCCATTTATACTATTTTTCTGTTTTATCCATTTGACATTTGATTATAAGCAACAGAAAATTACATTATTCAAGGGTATGATGGTGCATGCCTGTAAATCGCAGCACTCAGGAGGCTGAGACAGGAGGATCACTAATAAGTTCGAGGCCACTTTGAACTACATAGCAAGACATCTCAAAACAAATTACAGTTTTATACATTTATAATTTGAAATAAATTCCTCCCCATTGCTACCCTATCAATAAGTTTCTAACAGTTTGGAGAAAAGCTCCTCAATTTACAAAAAACAAAGCAACAAAGAGACCTGTGAGTGAATCCTCAGGAGCAAAAAGAGCAAGAATTTTCTGTGTCTGTTCTCCACCATAAAGAGGTACAAAGCCTACATTTGATAGGCTAATAGGAATCTGAAATGACAACTGATAAAAGATTAGTTAAGGAAATATATAACATACTATAACCATGAACCAATCAAAATAAAAGATGTTGGAAGAAACTTTAAAAAGAAATTACATAATAAAAATATTAAAGTGTTTACCCAAATATTAAGTTTGTCTTATATCAACTTTTATTATACAATTTCAAGGTGATACTCTCTCTATTCCCAAAAGTAAAAAGTAAAATCAAATGGAATTTCATTTTTTTTGGTAGGATTATTTCAAAATGTGTTATTATGTTCTGGCTACATGATAAAAACAAAAGCCATGATATAATCCATAAAGTCACTGAAAACCAAACATGGTTTATCATCTTTATTTGGACTACATGAGGGGGATATATTCCATTTTCTAGTTAAAGAAGCCAGTGAAGTACATTCATTTTTCCAGCAAGATACAAGAAATAATTTTTTAGTTTTTCACTAATCCAATATGCATTCTCCAATCAGAGTCAAAATTATTAGTCAGACAATAAGATACTGGTGCTTCAGGAGATGTCACAAATCTTTTAAAGGCACACCATTCCCAGAAGAAAAGTCTGAGGGCTGTAGAGGTAAAGGAATTTGCCCACCTCTGTACCAGTGGAAGTCTAAAGTCAAAAGGCATCAGGTTACTGACTAGAAGTTTTAACACTTTATGTTTCAAAACAGAAAATAAAAGATTAATGCCACAAAATATAATTTAGTGTTTGGCTCATTTTTCTAATTAAGAAGAAATTCCTAAACTTATATATTCCATATCTAAAATAAATTTAATTAATTCTGATATGGTAACCAGTCTTAGAAAAACTGGCAAGCTTCTTAAATATAACTTTAAGGACAACGAAACAAACATTAAGCAATAATTTGTGCGTTTTTGTCTGTTTAGAAATTGCTCATTTTAACACATTTTACTAAGCCAGATTTCCAAAAACACTATGAAATAACTTTTTAAAAGACAATGCTGATTTCATGTATAAACTAGATTCAAAACCTCAAAAAAACACAGCAGAATGCCCTACCGTAATATTGGGAAGAGGAAAACGCTCTGGATTGTCAGGGTCTCCACATCTTAAATCTGACATGTAATCTTCAGCAGAATTTTCCAGTTCCTCATGACTGCAATTATCCAGCAAATCCACAGGAAATGCCATCCTTTTAAACAAGCAAAATGGAACAACATGTTTCAGAATATAAAATGCTATTTTCCTTATACACAAAAAAAAATTCTTCTGTAATACTGTCTTATTTTATCATGAGACTTTCCATTTCAAGGCTACCTGAACCTACTGATTTAACCATATTATGTCAAAAAGAAAACTTTCTAGCATTCTGCATTTGTATTAAGAACAGGCAATGAAAATAGGGTGTGGTGACTCACATCTGTAAAACCAGCATCTGGGAGGCTGAGGCAAGAGGACTGTTGCCAGTTCAAGACCAGCTAAAGCTACAAAGTGAGTTCATGGCTAGCCTGAACTACAGAGTGACACCCTGTCTCAGACACACACATACCGCGGGGGGGGGGGAGACGGGACACGACACAGTGAAACAGAAACACACACATTCCTTAAATAAAATAGAATCTGCCAAAAGAATGTATACACACTTCAGAAAAAGAAAAGCCAATGGCTAACACTTTGAGCATCTCTTGTAATTGTAAAAGCCAAAGGTAACTTGTATTAGTCTCACAATGCCTCAATTTTAGTATTAAAATATTTTATGAGTCAGCCAGGGGTGATGGCGCATGCCTGTAATCCCAACACTTGGAAGGCTGAGGTAAAAGGATCATTATGAGTTGGATACCAGCCTGGGCTACAAAGTGAGCCCAAAACCAGCCTAAACTACATAGCAAGACCCTGCCTCAAAAAAAAAAAAAAGCAAGTTTTTCTTTTCTGAGGTACACATTTTTGACGCTCTGTATATTTATGCAGAATATATAAGTATGTACATACACACAAACTATGCATATAAATAGAACCCCACATACCACAACATAAAAGTGAATGGAAAAGTCAAGAGAACTTTCCAGAAAGATACAAATGTTCACAACTGGGTTGGGGGAACAGATGCACAACAGCTACAAATTTACTTTAAAAAAAAATTAGCTGTTTTTTTACACATTATATTGTTTACATATAGACACCTTCCAGCCTACTTTTTTGTAATTGATTCTGTGGAGGATCTTTCTCTCTCCTACTTTACTCTACCATGCATTTCTTCCTGGTGCTGTCAAAGTGCCCCATCATCTCCCAACCAAGGAGCAGGCACACCAGAATGCCTATCCCATGATATCTTAAAGAGTAACGTAAACATACAAGGTAGTATGTTATTTTGTCCACTGGTGTTTCAAAGAGACTGAATTCAGTAGCTGTTAAAAAGAATTCTGGTACTAAGTACCTTTTTTTAAAATTTTTTTTGTCTTTTTCCTTTTTATTGGTACCGGGGATCGAACTCATGACTGCCTGCTTGCAAGGCAGGCACTTATGCCGCTGAGCTAAATCCCCAGACCCCAAGTGCCTTTTATTGTTAAAAGTTTTTTCTTTGATTTTGAACTGGGCAATCTATAATAATAAATATCTTTCTATGATTAAATTACCCTGAGTTCTTTCTGTTGCTGCAACCCAAGAAGTCTGGCTAATGCACTATTGTGGCCTTAATCCAAATTCTCACAGCAATTTAATAGGAAATTTGTGTAAACCAGACCCAAAGTTTTGATTCAGGAGTTTACATACCTCTTTTTTTATCTTTATTGCTTTTTAAAATTCCAGGACTCTTTGGTTCCAAATGAATTTTAGGATTGTTTTCTCCAATTCTGTGAGACACACTACGGGGATTTTAACTGGGTTCACACTGAATCAGTATAACAGTTTTGGAAGTATGGCCATTTTCACTATATTGGTTCTTCCTACCAAAGAGAATGAGATAACTCTCCATTTTCTAATATCCTCTTCAATCTCCTTTTTCACAGTACTGCAGTTTTCAAAGCAGAGGTCAAGAGTTTGTTATCTGTGTATTGATTTCTGAGCGTTGACTTTGTAACCAACTGTTACAGAATTTTATTAAATCTAGTAGTCTTTTGGTGGTTTTCTATATAGAATATGTCATCTACAAATGACAGTTTAACTTCTTCCTTTCCTATCTTTATTACTTTTATTTCTTTCTCTTGTCTAATTGATCTAGTTAAAGTTTCCAGGACTTTGGTGAATAGGAGTGGAGACAGTGGATATCTTGGTCTTGCTTCTGATTTTAGAGAAAAAGCTTTCAGATTTTGTCCTTTTAGTATCATATTGGCTGTTGGTTTGTTATAGATGGCTTTTATTACATTGAAATAAATACCATCTACTCAAATTTTCTGTAGGGCTTTTTTTTTTTTTTTTAATCATGTATGGGTGCTGGACTTTGTCAAAAGCTTTTTCTGCATCTGTAGAGATGATCGTATTTTTGTCCTTGGCTCCGTTAACATGGTGTATTACATTTATGGATTTACGTATGTTGAACCATCTCTGCATCTCTGGAAAGAATCCCACTTGATCATGGTGTACAATCATCCTGACGATTTGCTGCAGTCTGTTTGCCATATCTTATTAAGGATTTCCGCATCAATGTTCATTAGAAAGACTAGCCTTTAATTTTCTTTCTTAGTTGAGTCCTTTTCTGGTTTTGGAAGAAAGGTAATGCTTGCTTCCAGGGACGAATTTGAGAGTATTGCTTCCCTTTCAATTTCATTAAATAGTAGTAGTAGTAGTATTAGGTCTTCTCTAAATTTCTTACAGAATTTAGCAGTGAACCGGTGAGGGTCTAGGCTTTTTTTTGTTGATAGGTTTGTAATTACATCTTCAATTTTATTTATTGATATTGGGTTATTTGGGATTTTTATATCTCCTTGATTCAGGGTTGGTAATTAGGAATCTAGGAATCTGTCCATTTTCTCTGTACTTTCCATCTTATTAGAATATAAGTTTTCAGAGTAGATATGGATGATTTCCTAGATTTTTACAGGGTCTGTTGTGATTTCACCCATTTTATTAACTGTGGATTTGAGTCTTTTCTTTCCTTTTTTTGATAAGGTTGGATATGGGTTTATCTATTTTATTTAATCTTTCAAAGAACCAAATCTTCAATTTATTTATTCTTTGAATTATTTTTTTGGTCTCCAGTGTGTTAATTTCTAATCTTTACAATTTCCTCCCTTAACCTCTTCTTTTCCTAGAAGTTTGAGGTTCAACATTAAGTTGTTTATATGCGCTTGCTCTGTTTTCCTGATTATGGGTATTTACTGCTATAAATTTCCTTCTCAAGACTGCTTTCATTGTGTTCCACATGTTCCAGTAGGTTGCATTCAGCTGTAAAAACTGATTTCCTCGTAAATTTCATCTCTGACCCCTAGTTGCTCAGTAAGGTATATAATTTTCATGTGTTTATGAAGTTCTTGCGGTTTCCTCTGGCATGAATTTCCAATTTCATTGCACTGTGGTCTGGTAGTATGTATAGGATAATTTCAATTCCTTTGCAGTTACTTAAGCATGTTCTGTATGCCAGTATCTGCTCTATTTTCAAGAACATCCCATGTGCAGCTGAGAAGAATGTGTACTGTGATGATGTGGGGTGCAACACTCTATAGACATATCCACATGTTCAAGAGCTTCATTTAGTTCTAATATTTCGTTCTTGATTTTTTATCTAGTTGACTAGTCTTTCTGTAACAGCGGGGTACTGAGGTTTTCCAATACAATTCTATTAGGGCTATTTGATTTTTCATGTCTATCAGTGATTGTTTTATATAGTTTGAATGCACTGGTATTGTAGCATATATATTTCTGATTGTATAACTGTTGTTTTAAAAACTGTTTTCTTTTATTGGTGCTTGTCAGCAGTATAAAATGAGTACATTCATCTTAGAGTTGGTACCTGTGTATAACCCAATCCTTAACTTTGCCCCCCTTCCTATCTCTTTATGCTGCAGTACATTTATGATGGAAATAACAATGGCAGTAGACTCTAGAATGAGAACCCTACAAATAAGATTATTCATTTGCCTTCATTCAAGTCTTACCTAGATGGATAATATAAACTACGCAAGCATCTTTTCCTGTAGGAGACTTCTCTGGTTATTTTTAGATCTAGCTTCCTCTTTGTACTTCAGACTCTACCCTTGTCTTCTCATTCCTTCCTTTCCCTTTAGTACCCGAGATCTTCCCCATCCTAATCCTGCCAGTACTATCTCTGAATGAGGTATTTTTTAAGCAAAAAGCAGGCACATCCACAACATTCAAAAATATTGCTTCAAAAATTGCCCGTGCGCTAAAGCTGTAACCCACTAATGATCATTTAAATAAAGTGGCAACTGAAAGTGTTTTTCTGAACATTGATAGATATATAGAATAGTGTTTAGGCAATAGCACCTGCATTTTTAAAAATCGTAACTTACAGTGTGAGAATAAGGGGGAAAAAACATTCTTATTCTATACATCCATATTTGGGTTCACTATCAATGTGTCTTTCTGGTACTACAGTAGTTTCGTATTCTAGGGCCTAAGTACAAAAAAGGTTTCATTCATCTGGTTATCTCCCATGGCATCTAGGTCAGGCTTGGCAAAGGTAGATGTTTTCTAAGGTTAGAAATTTAATGGTCTTGAGTAACTTTCCAGTGAGTGGTAGATTAGACAACAGATTTGATGGAAGCCAAGGTAGTGCTGCAGCTGTCAGCCACGGGGGTAGGCAGCTACACTCAGGTAGGTATGTGGCAGGCAAAAGCCTGAGATTTATACCCATCGAAATAGGTAGAAGTGAGGGGTCTGACCCACTACAGTGCTGACACAGATAGCTCTTTTTGTCTAATGGCTACTGTTTCTGGGGTGTGTTTTTGCAATCTTTCACTGTTCTGACAAAGTTTCACTGAAGAAAATGGAGTATCTCACATGGCAGGTGGCACACACTAATCAGAGGTCAGAGACTGCTTAGAAATCCACTAGCTAGTTATTGAAAAGCATTCAACAGGAGCCAAGATCAATGCCTTAGGAAGGGAACTGGTAAGAACAAGGCAGAAGAATGCAGATGCCGAAGTCTACTGGTGGTAAGGATGACAGTGCTGAGCTAACAGGTGTGTGCTGATCAGAGTTCACTGCTTTCTGCTCGAGTCCACCTTGTTCTTAGCAGTGTGGGGAGGGCTGGACCTGCAGAGAGCCTCCGCTGTGGGCAAGGCTGAGGTGGAGGCTAGAAATTCAGACATGTCAGAGAAAATTTTCTTTTGTAGTTTTTCTTTTCTCTTTATTTCCTGTGGCCAACTATTTTAACTGATTGTAAATAGCTTTCAGACTTATTCTATATTTTAATACCTATTTAGACAGGGTGTTATACAGTTGCAACTAAAGTTCCTGCTGAGAATCAAATTTAACCATGCCCCAGATAAATGATATATGTACATTAATTCATATTCTGAAGCAACCAGAACTTCATAAACTGTCTTTCTTTTTATATATTTGAGGCTACATTGTTAGGCACCTGTAAGTTTGTGATGACTGTCTCTTCTTCGTAAATTATTCCAATCCCGGGATATAGATCAGCAACCCAGTACCTGCTTGGCAAGCGTAAGGTTTTGAGTTCGGTTTCTGCTTCCTAGAACCAAAAAAAGAAAAAAAAAATGCTATTCCAAGTTTTAAATAAGATGTGGCACACACCTGTAATACTAGCACTTAGGAGGCTGAGGCAGGAGAATCACTTTAAGTTCAAGGCCAGCCTGGCCTACAAAGTGAGGTCAAGGACAGCCTGAATCATACAGTGGAAAAGACCTTAAAAAGACCAAAATAAATAAATACATAAATAAGACTGAGGGTTTTTTTTTTATTCTTTACGATCACTTTGCCTTAGTGTTTAATTTTGTGATGCCGGTGCAGCTGTGGTGCTTTTGGTTCACCACTCTTTGGTATAACTCATCTGATCACTTTCAGTTGGCCCACATCCTCACGTTTTAAGTACAACAGTTGCTAGGAATGAATGTGGAGGTATGCAAATTATATCTCATACACACAAGTATCTGTGAAGGCAAAAAACTACACCAAAAAGTCTATAATTCACTTCATTTTTTCATAAATATTTTATGGTTAACTTTGAGTATTATGGGGAAACATAAAAGGCTTTTCTTTCCCACTACAGTCAAAACAACAACCAAAAAACAAGGACTCTATTACTATCTAACATTCTGTAGGAAATGGGCAATATAATTATCTTCTTTTTTTATTTTATTTTACAGACAAAAAAGAAAAAAATTTCAAAACATAACAATTAGGAGGTAACAATGGTATATACATTGGGTATTGTTATCTTCAAATCATTTATCAGTGGGCCAGTGTCATTAGACAAGAGAAAACAAGGAGAGGCTTAACAAAAGGCAGGGGAACAATGGAAGGACTATCACTAGCTGTTACCACTAGCTGGTGTACTAAGTTGAAAGACTCAGAACAATCCTTGGAAAAACAATTCCAAACAATAAAAAATATGGTAAAACAGGATTTAAAACTAACAAACTTTTGTACAAGGATAACAGGAAAAAAGAAATAATGAGAAAACAATTAAAAGCAAAAAAGGGCTTAAATTTATCAATACCACAAAGATACTAGTTCTCCCCAAGATAATGTGTTACCATATTCCTAATAAGAATGCCTTGAGGGGCTTTCTTTCCAGAAGCAAAATAAGTTGATTATCATAAAAAAGTATGCAAAGTCAAGAGACTGAAAATCTAACAAAAATGAAATAAACACATGAGAGATATATACAGTAAGTTATATATAGCTAATACATTTTCCCCAATTTTGAAGATATGAAAAGAAACTTTTTCCGTAACGTGAAATTGAAATCTTGGTCTTAAGGACTATAAATTTTAATATATATTAAGTTGAAGACTAATTTTACATGAATATGTATTTTTCAATCAAATTGATTTTTAAAATCAAAATGTAGAAACAGAACATAAACTCACTAAATGTAAATGTCTAAATTTTCTCACTTAGAGAAAGCAAGAAAAATTTGTGAAACTATTTGAGAGTACTACCAAAGAATTTCTATGATTTTTTTTTTTTTCTGGGTCTTTCTGACACAGTCTCAGTATGTAATTCAGCTGGCCTTGAACTCATTTTGTAGCCTAGGCTGGCCTCAAACTTGATCCTCCACCTCCCAAGTGCTGGCTGGGATTATAAGCATACACAGACACACTCAATTTGGTTTTTTTTGGTCTTTTTGAGAAAGGGTATTGCTATGCAGTTCAGGCTGGCCTTGAGCTCACTTTGTAGACCATGCTGGTCTCGAACTCGCAACAATCCTCCTGCCTCAAACTCCGGAGTGCTGGGATTAAAGGCTTGAGCCACCACGCCCAGCTGACACACTCAATTTTTTAAAAGGGGAAATATATATGAATTTCAAAAGAGATAAATCAGGAACTTAAATAAATATTATAAGTAGAAAATGATCACAAAATAAATTAGTAGCTCTGAAGAAGTTTATAAGCTTGGGTAAATCCTTGTATCTCAAACATAGATTCAACACGGAAAAAAAATTAACTGTATTCCACAGTTAGAACATTTTTTCCTCTATACTGGAGATTCAACTCATGGCCTTCAAGTTATGCTAGATCTCAGCCCTTTATCTTTTATTTTAAGACTGGGTTTTCATGGTGCCGGGGATTTAGCGCAGTGGCATAAGCGCCTGCGTTGCTAGCCCAGTCCCAAAACAAAAAAGGTAAGACTGGATTTTCATAAAGACACCAAACAACCCAAGCTTCAACTTGCCATTCTTTTGCCTTCCAGACTGCTAGGATAACACATATGCACAACTATACATAGCTCACGGATTCTACAGATTAAAATTTTACATAGAACTATAAATACAGGACAAGTGGTCAACAGTGGATCCTAAACAACAGTTAAGATAATAGGAGAATGTTGTATATACAAATCCAAATTTATAAGTATTTTTATCAAAGATTTAAAGTCCATTAAAATATTAAGACACACTGAATACACCATAAAATTGGCGAATAAAGCTCAAGAATCAAATATCACAGAATTCCCTTTAAATCAATTTACAAGATTCACTTGAGTATTATCTCCCAAAACAAAGTACGTACAAAACATTTAAGAATTTCATTTGTTAAGCAAAAAAAAAAAAAAAAAAAAAAACCAAGCATGGTGATGCACGCCTATAATCCCACAACTGCCAAGTTCAAGGTCAGCCTGGGTTACATAGCAGCCAGCCTTAACTACATAAAGAGGTTGGTCTCAAAAAAACCAACAACAAAAAAAAACTTTTTAAAAAAAGTGTAACTGTAATATAAATTAAAAGAATAGTGCCATAAACTTTATCTATAAAAACATACCTGATTATAATCACAGAATGACAGTGTAGGTAAAGAATACAAAATGGCATTATAAGAGCCTGATCAAAGGGCAAATTTACACAATTTTTTTTCTTTTTCATCTACTGTTACTGTGATACTATGGTTCTGTAAAAGTTTTAAATGCTAATGTCACATTTATAAATTCCTAAATAAAGTATTTTCCTTAAATTTCATCAATGGTCAGTACACAAACTAGTTTTTCTGAGTGATGTAACACAGAATCCAAAACCTTTCAGGGAAGCACACAGTCTCAGAGGTCTTCGCTGCCCACTTGCATGCTGCTCTTAAGTCAGACTGAGACCCACTGTGCTGCTGTCCACTAATTCTTCATCCCAGTGCAGCCCAAACTTCAGTAATGTGCATCCACCTCAAGATTTTTCTGTGTGCCTCAGCCCTGCGTCACTAATATTTTTGTCAATTTGCTCCTTTCAAATATCTACATACACACACACACACACACACACACACAGCCTCATCTCGTTGCTGCTCTTTTAAAAACTGGAGGCTTTTGCTGGTTTTGCTTTGTTTTGTTGTCTTTTGAAACAGGATCTTGCTAATGTAGTTCAGGCTATCCTTGAACTCACTGTGTACCCTGGGCTGGCCTCAAACTTGTGGTAATCTTTCTGCCTCAGTCTCCCAAGTGATGGAATTACTAACTGCTGCACCAGCATACTTGGCTTAAAAACTGTTAAAATATAACAAGATATATCATTTTTATCATTCCTAAAGATATAATTCCGTGACACAAGTACATTCACAATAATGTGCTGCCTTCACCACTATCCATTTACAGAATTTAGTTTCCAAATAGAAAATCTATACTCATTAAAATGGTAACTTTCCATTCATCCCTGTCCTCAGTCCCTGGTAATCTGTCTTTCTGTCTCTATGAATGTTAACTATTCTAAGAACTAAGTGAATTAATACAGCCAACTATTGGGGCTGGGGATTTAGCTCAGCGGCATAAGTGCCTGCCTTGCAAGCAGGCAGTTGCGAGTTCGATCCCTGGTACCAATAAAAAAGGAAAAAAAAAAAAACACAGCTAACTATCTTTTCGAGTCCCTGTTTATTCTGCTCTGTATGATGGTTGAAGGTTCTTCCAAGGGGATGTATGTATTAGAATTTCTACTCGCTTTTTTTAAAAAAACATTTTATTCACCTGAACTATTAAGACCTAAACTACAAATTTCTATTAGATTAGACAGATTAGGTTATGTATTTTCCTAACATTAAAATTCCTATCATTATTTAAATGTTCATGAGAGTTCGATCCCAGTATCAAAAATAAAGAAGTAAATAAATAAATAAATGTTCATGAGTCTGACCTAAAAGCACCTAATTCACTATCAGATATCAGCGCAGGAGAAAGTGCAACTTGCACTGAGGATTGTTCTCACAAAGCCTCCTACTCAGGCCAGTGGAAGGCAACTGCAGCGTGCAACAGGACTCCTCACCCTTTGTGCCTAAAACTTTCGGACAGAAAGATAACTTTTTATTGTTAGTCGAAGGTTATTTTTTAATATACAAAAATGTTATTCAAATGCAAAACAATCCTGTTTCCATGTGACTACTTAGGTCTTCAAATCTGCACACAAAAGAGAACCAGAAAAAAAGAGAAGCTGTGATTTCTAAACACAATTTAAAAAACAACTACAAAAAAAACCAGCCAGGCATGGAAGAACACACCTGTAATTCTAATGCTCCATAGAGGCCGAGGCAGGAGTCTAGTCAGGAGTTCAAGGCCAGTCTGAGCTACAAAGCAAGACCCTGTCTCAAAATAATGTAACATAACATGTCATGACACCAAACAAAAACAAAGTAAGATAAAATAAAAATTAACAAACAGGGCCAGAGATATGGCACAGTGCCTGTCTGGCAAGCATGTAATCCTGAGTTTAATCACCAAAACCAAAAAACTAATAAAATAAATAAAAACGCTATTCATCACCACTCTTAATACAAAAAAATTATAAATTATTTCCCTAATTCCAGAAGCCTACACACACACATACCAACCTGTCCTTAATTAAATTCCTTACTTTGCTACAGTCACTCTGAATGCTAATTTTCATTAATTTTAAATGATTAGCAGTAGCAGGTAACATTTACTGAAGTGTCCATATGCCAGGGTTTGACATATGACAAGCATTTCTATTAGTCCTACTTAATCAGTGAAGCAAGAAAGCTTTGAGGTTCAAGAGACCTGACCACATCGCACCACTAGCAG